AAATGACAATTGCTTGCACCACACATGTTACATGTAGCCACGAATGTAGTAGTGAGAGCAAAAATATTAGCACCATCAGTCACTGTTAACCCTAAATTGATGAGCAGTAAAGGCTTTTAAAGCATCGCCTTTGAGCAGTTTTGTACTGTAGTTTTTTGCCATTTCATGGATGCATGCAGTTTTGAGGTTTGACATGTTTGCCATTAATTTACCCAACACATCCCCATCTTTTATATTTTACCCAAAAATGTTTATGTGTGCACTAAAAAAAATGTAAGTGCATTTTTCCTAAATATATCTATTTGATAAACATTTGTGCAAATATCAAGCAACATAAACAATTGCAGCTAGCATGTTTTAGTCTACAGGGCCTCTGCTTTCAGAAAATATACAATTGTTAGGGGGTTTTAAGTTGTTTTCTAGCCAAAAATTCTGATTGTATCATGTGTGTGTAAAAATTAAGAAACTGCTCCGAATACAAAAGCGGTTCAACTATCTCCACTATCATGTGGTTGTTGGTAAATCTAAAAGAGATTTACATAGCTGAGAGGTTTGTAGCCAGCTTTGTGGCTTCATTCACTGTGTGGGAGAAAATATCTCACAATTCAAAACACATCTATAGGAAGAGAGGTTGATGTACAAAGCTGGGAATTGTTAGCTGAGTTACCCTTTTCCTTTATTATATAGTGAAAAAAAGATGAGTGTGGGTGATCTGATAGACCATACATGCCTGATATGATATACATTATATGTGACTGTGGAATTTTTTAGTTGTTGAAACAGTATTTTCTGCATCTGTAGCCTATCTGATAGAAGTCTCTTGCACTAGTACCTATAAAACATTTCCTGCCTTATTGACAACTATAGCATCTTTAAATCAAGATAAACAAAAAGCCAACAGAATGACCTTCCACAACACATCACACAATATTTGGATTAGTTTCTATGACATTAAAAGTAGAAAGTGAACTCCAAAGTAACTTATTTAGTTAGGGAATGGCTTCACCGAATTCAGACTCACTTGTTTGACCCTGTTGGAAAATTCTGTAAGGCGATAGGGTCTCTTTAAGCGCCTAAAGCAACTGAATCTTTTTCTCCCTATCTTCTTGAAAATAGACCTTTCGCTAAAAAGCAAGTTTATTACATCAGGCATCCAGGCCCTATAAGAAAATACTGCATAATAGTTTTAAAAGAAAAACAAAACTGTTGTGAAAAGTTAGAAAATATACCTACCTTCCGCTCACAGCACCTAGGCGAGAATGATGCCATAGACATTCCACGTGAAATCCTGGCAACAATGAGGATCTTGAATCTTACACAGTGCAGGAGCATCTTCTTGTGGGGTTTGGGATGCTCTGCACTCCCAGGATTACGCTGGAAGAATTGTGACATCACACTCTACAGTGCGGAAGTTGGGTAGAAGTTTGCTATGTTTTTTAACATGCAGCATTTTGAAATGGGTCTGGGAGGCTTCATGTAATAAGCGGATCTTGCTTTAAGTGCAAGATCTCCTATAAGGCAGCATCTGGAAGACATTCTCTGAGAAGGGCCAGTAAATGAAAAGAACTATTGTTATTAGTGCAAATAGTAACAGCATTTCAAGCCGTAAAATGGGTATCTGGAGAGAGACTGGATGCTGCAAATGTCAATGTGAGCTCGCCTATAAAAGTGGAAATATTGGTCAATGCATCCAATTAGATTCCAGCTTTCTAAGCACAAGGAATAAAATTAGAACCTAAATCCAGCCATTTTCTTCAACATTGGATAGATTTGAGAAGACATTTGTGTCAGATTTAAATTTTTGTCTGCGACCCAGTTTGGGATTTTTTCCCCTTCCTGTACCTGTTTAGGGATGTTACTTTTTTTCTGTAATTAGGACACAGCAACAAACCCCTGACAGAGGCTCTAACCCCTCCATGCTCTATCTAAAATAAAATGAAATGGGCCAGATAAACTATTGTCAGTGCATAGAATATTTGGCACACAGACAGTGGCGTAACATTCGCCATAGCAACCCAGGCGGCCGCTATTGTGAATAGCTGGTTGTGAATAGCTCCGGCTGGGAAGCCTGACCAAAGCAATGTAAGGCTGACAGGTGCCTCAGCAATCTGCCACTTTTCTTACGTATCCGCTCATTCAACGGTTACCTCTGGTTAGGGACATTATCTGACCCTGGTCACAATCTATTAACAGAACAGGTGTCGCCATTGGAATATTTACCCTGACCTATTTCAATGACAACTGTAAAATCTTGGATTTTCCCTCACTTTCTGCTGCAGTTGTCACTAGTCCAATTACAGAAGATGACAAATCAGAGGTAAATACCTGACTTTACCTTTCCACACTTAATTTAAGTCTTGCTTTTACCTACACTTTAAGGGCCCATTTACAATTATGTGCTGTTGTAATTCATAACAAATAGCTTGCCTTAACATAACGCATGTTTATGTGCTTTAATGTGCATGCATTTGTGTACCACAACAGACCAGATGGGTATAAATGTGAACATGCTGGTGCTGACCTTTCCTTCTGTGAATGCTTGCCTGGCTATAATGGCGATCCATTGTCTTGAAGGTTGTCTGCAGCACTGAACCAAGTGTGCAGTTCAGGGGTTTTTGACTTCACTCTGACTTTCTAGTAACTTGAAAAGTATTAACACAGAGACAGTCAGGCAACTAACATTCTTAGAAAGGTGGTCAGCAATGGCAGCCCCTTTATTTCTGTCAATACAGGTATCTCTTTATGTAAATTTTAAAGGACTGAATATGGGAGATGCCATTTCAAACTTGGTTTAAAAGATGCAGGCTTTAGTTTATCAATCTGATCCAGATGTTTGTAAATAATGGGTAACCTGAAAAAAAGTAAGAAGCAAGTGGCAGCTTAAAAGTCTGAACTGCTTCTCTAAATTCTGTTTTCAGGTCCATGAAGATGGGATCAGGCTCACAGCTTTGGAGCTTACACCTTTAAGAAGAGTTAGTAATGCAGCTCCCATGGTTCTATCCTTTCAGATTGCCTTCAAATGGCCACAGATAAGAGAATCTATTGCTTCTTGTAGAAACAATAGGACCTTCAGAAGATTCCTCTGTCATCCAGCATGCACATCCTCAATGCCAGTAACAGGCTTCATCAATCGGGCTCTTCATCATCCATAGTGAATAATAGGAGAAATTGGTCAGATTGTATTTCTTGCTTGACATTCCAATGCTTGGAGAACTTCATGTCCTTTGTAAAAATTGTTTATACTTTGCAACAAATGTAGTTACTATACCAATGTATTTGTACAGTACTTCAGAAAATACTAAGAATAAGGGTTGGCAGAAGAGACCTCATTGGTCACTTCAGACGGGAAGGTGGGGTGCAAAAAGAACAGGACTGGCAGGCTATGCTACTGGAGTAACTTATAGTAAATGGTAGAGCACTTTGGCCTTTTGCCTTGAGTGCCAAGGCAAACGTAAGGTGTAAGGCAGAACTTGGTGTCTATGGATATCTTACCTAGTATAACAAAAAGAGGCACAATGACAGACTGACGTATCACTTCTGATGATCACATTTTGTAAGGTTTAATTGGTCAAGGATAACATGCGTTTCCAAGTATCAGAAACTCCCATTATCAAAAGTGAAGATTTTCCAACAAGTTGACTTATCTCCCTGTGGCTGAGCATTAGCCCTTCATGACCGCAATACAACATTATAAGTCAAATTGTAAAATTCCCCTTGCCTTGACAACATTATTAACACCTTGCAGCTGAGAAATAGGAATGTGCAACTATGTGTGTTCCTAGTTTTCATACCTGGAAGTTGAGTCTATATAGAGTTATTGTCAAGTTAAGAGTTCTGTATATTCCACTGCAACCACATTTCACAGACCTCCTCACATGGGGAGTGGAGGGTTGTATTCCTTAAGCTTGTGTCCTTAAGCTTGTGTAACTTCCTGTCTCTTTCCTTGATTCGGGAATAGCATTCTTAAATTTAAAAACTTCTGACAAAGCTTTAAATGCTGCCTGAGCTTTCTTGTCCTCGAGACAACTGTTGTCCCCATTTTTTTTTTCTTACAGGCAATACAAGGACAGTAAGCGAAAATCTCCCAAATAAGACCAGAGACAGAAATAAAAAAAAAATTCAGAAAATGTAATTCTTCCTCATTTTTTTCCCAAAATACATAAGGCCTGGAGTTAGTTCTAGTTTTTATTACAGGACAACGAACAGAACTTTCAACATGTGTGCATTGCTTCCATTCAACATCAAACCTGGAGGAAGGACCACAGCATGTCCCTGCAGTGGGTGATACATCCTATGATGGGCGGACCTCTTAGTGTCATTCATTCTTGAACAGAGATTTTCCTGCCTGTGAATAATATCTGCCAATCTATAAGCAACCCAATGCAGATGTGTAGTAAAGGTCCACTCTCATTATTAGTGCAGTGTAACTACAGTATATGGAGTTAATATGTGTATTTCTTTAAACTTTTCATGTCTTTATATTTTTCTCGCCTTAAAAGTGCACACCAAGCTGTCGACAAAAGTAAAAGATGTTGGGACAAACTATAAAAGTCATATCACACAGGCAATTCAGTTAACCCTTGCATCCCTGGTAGTGTTATAATTTGCCCCAGTCCCTGTCACTGTCATTTTACAAAACTGCTTTGTCCGCATGTAAATGTGGTGGAGTAAAATAAAAAAAAAAAAGGATACACAAATATTAACTACATACCGTTTTTAGGACACAAATTTGTATAATTGTGTAAGTCACCATGGTGAGAGACAGCAGCGACTCGAAAAGTGCATAAAATAAAAATGTCTGCAGAAAATGTGTCTATTTCACCCAGGAATGGTACAGCCTAGAACACATTGCTAAGTAATTCATTGCAGATCCACAAGGATGTGATGACAAAATAAAACCAGGTACTATTAAGATGCAATCAGTATCTGACAGGCAGAGTGTTCAGCAAGAAATTCATTAGCTTCATCTTAAATAAAATCATGCATATATAGATACTTACCATTTAGGTCCTCTTCCCTTCTTAAGTTTCAGGGTCAGCACCGTCTCAATGCACAGTAAAATGTTCGACAGAGCCAGCAGCCAGTACATGGAGTTATGTTTAATTTCAGTGACTCTCCAAACTCCGACTAATGAGTGAAGAAAGAAGAAAAGTCTAGTCAATATTGCACTGAGGAATACAAAAAATTCCATGATGGTGTGTCTCGCTCCGTTGTAATTCCCTAGAAATCTCAGCACATATGACTTTTCTTCTATTTCAGTGAAGTTTTCGTAGTGGACAGGAAAGTTACTCCCGGGAAATGTGATGTGTATCACTGTGCAGATGCTGGTTCCTTTTCAACAAAGAAGCTTATAGCTGCATATTAAATCGCCCCTCCTCCAGACTTCCTGAACTTCAGCTCATAGTGACTTTATCCTGAGCTGCGTAGTATCTCAGAGCAACTCAGAAAGAGGGATAGTAGAATTTACCTCATTATATCGTTATTCATTTTGTGGCATTAATGTCTTGTAGCATTTGTATTGCTTCAATGAGAAAGCAAAGCAGATTTGTTTTTCAATGCTGGTTGAGCTGAATTTACATTTAATAAACTTGCTCTGCTCTTTCAATTTAGGGTTTGATGAGCTTTCCCTTCATGGAATTTATATTTAGCTAATTATTATTTTATGTGTATATTGGTTGTATTTACATAATCTTAACTTTCCCTTTTTCATGTATTGACATATTTCACTGAGCATCTCGCAGAAATTAAGTATACACTTTTACCACTGGGATGGCCAGATGCCCATTCTAACAGCCTAGATGCCCACACCAGATTTAGCAATATCATTATGTATTTGTTCATTTGACAATAACTTGAGAACAGCGATTCTCAACCGTTTTTCAGACGTGGCACCCTTTAAAAGTATGAAAAAACTCGAGGCACTCCAGTCTAAAATGTAAACGTAAAAAATGACTGTGGTTGCCCCCAAAATCTATACCATAAGTAATATATTGGTGCCTTGCTCCACTCCTTACCGGTATAGGATGTTCCTTGAAATCCTGGTGGGTGCTCGTAGTGACCACGGATGGCGCCGTGAAGATATACAAGTTTTCAAAATAAATGGACTTTTGTTGATGTCACTTAAATGGTGTGCTGGTGACATCCTTTTGCAAACTTCAAAATCTATACCAAACCCCTATCCTTTTTAAGGGTCTGGTATGGATTTTGAAGTGGGGCCCCAAGCACAAAAAAAAGATGTGGAGTCTCTAAGTTTACATCAGAATCCTCCCTTTCATATCAGAAGCTCTTTTTCCCATCAGGAGCCCCCTTCCCATCAGAGTTCCCCTTTTATATCAGGAGCACCCCCTCACATCAGCATTCTCAGTCCTCCCTTAACATCAGAGTCTTACCTTATAATCTCCACCTCAGTGCGGCTCCTGCAGCATTGCAGAGGGCTGGAGTTAAAGCAGGCCTGGACGGAGGTGGACTTCTATTCTCTTCTGAACAATGGGGGAAGTCCTGGATGCAGCCTTCCCTGGATTAGTGTCATGTGTTTCCACCTGCACCATGGAAATGCATGATGCTCTGCAAAAATTTTAAGGCACCCTTAACAAAGCCAGAAGGCACACCAGGGTGCCATGGCAGCCTAGTTAAGAAAGGCTGCTCTAGGGGATCTATTTAACAAAGTACAATAGTGTAAGATCACTGCCACATCAAATACTCAAACAGGAGCCATTTTATTGATCACATAAGATAAAGGGTTCCTGTATGAGCATATCATGTATCAATGAAGTTCCACTGCTGAAGATTTGTATTAGTGGAGCCATCCGATTTGCACTGCAGCTTCTGGTTGGTACAGGCTGTGTAAACGTTTGGAGTACACATTGCTGCTTGTTACATTATTATAATATTTTCACACAAGATTCCTACAACTTACATCCAGAATTTACACATTTTTTTCCAATTGATTCCAGTTAGAGAAAAAAGAATCTTGTGTGAAAGCTGTTTGAATCGTGTGTGAAAACATTTATAAACACACTCTATGACTAATTTTAAACATAAAAGAGAAGCAATTGCACCGACCTAGTGCAATAACAAAAATCCTTTAGCAAATAAAGTGTTGCTTAAAATGCACTCATAAATGTGATGAAATGTAGCACTTGGTATTAGGTTCTGCAGTGGTTTTTTGATGATGTAATTCCCTCCTCACTGTGGCCAGCATTTGGTCTTCTCGTCAGATGGTTCCAAGGTGGTCACCACTATGGGTAAGCTTTGACAAACCCCCACCTTCTGGGTCATGTTTCTGGTTGTTGCAGCAATACGTGTCAATGTTATGAGATGCTTAAAATGACCCTTTTGAAATGTGTTGCCATAGCAACCCAGAAGGAGGACATACTGTTAGTGCAGGACTCCATGGACCAGCTTTCTGCATCATCCAGGACCTCCCACCACTTTAAGATGTACTGCAGAGGATCCTGCAGCTCCTGCGATCTGCTTAAAGTCATCTGGAGTATGTAAGTCCAGGGTTTTGCTCTAATTACAGTCAAAGAAGTTCTAAATAACTGTTCTTTTCCAAAAGCTACCTGCACATGTGTATATTTGTGTTGATGTCATAGTTGTAACGTACATTGCGCAAGCATGCCCTGCCATTTCCACAGTAGGTAAACCTGCCCTAAACAGTGGCATGCAGATGACACTAGTGTACACAAATGTAGACAGGAAGTTACTTCAAAAGAGCTGGAGCAGATCATCAAAAATGCGATACAAAAATGAATAAGTAAATAAATACAGTATTTTCTTAAAGAAAGAACAACAAGGCAGTTGTTAAAGATAGAAAGTGCTTTAGCGAAATTACGTAATTCAGTGAGGGTTTACAATAACTGATGATGTTATTCCACAAAAGGGGAATATGATGCGATAATATATTAAAACACTTCCAACATAGTAGTTTCCAGCACTATTGAAACATTAAATGTATTATAACTCTCTAGTGTCTGTATAGTGAATTATTCACTACACAGTGAATAATAAACTACACATTGATGCAAATAACAATTTCCCAGGAGAGCAAATTCAAATACTTTTCTTGTTTTTAAGTATGGGTTAAATGCACTTATTGATTAGAGTGCCAAGAACATAGCACTGTAGAATCACTGTTAATGGTGACTGAAAAGCATAATATAAATCATTAAAAGAGCAATAAATTCAGTTGGCATTATAGAAAACCCTGGCAAAAGATTGTAGCATAATTAGCACACTAGAATGTAAACAATTATTATTTATATCTAATAATTCTATCTATCTATCTATCTATCTATCTATCTATCTATCTATCTATCTATCTATCTATCTATCTCTCTCTCCAAATGTGAAATATTTGGCTATAAGTAGACATGTAAGCTGTGGAAAAATTTGGTTCGGTTATTTCGTTATTTCGGGATTCGAATCCAAAATTCAATTCGGTTCGGGTTTCGGATTCGGACGAAATCTGAATTTTCGTTAACTTCAGATGAGTTTACGAATATTCGTTGCAAATACCACAGAAGACCATATACAGATATTAACACTAAAGCTGAAGCTTCTAGACCCAAATGGCATTCAGGAGTCCGAATTTCCGAATACCATTCAGGAGCTCCAGAAAGCAATACGGGTCTGGGAACCATATTAAAGCTGAGGCTTCCAGACCCGAATGGAATTAGGGAGCTCCTGAATTCAATGAGGAAATTCGAATGTCATTTGGGTCTAGGAGCCTAAGCCTTAGTATTATATGTATATACTGTATATGGCTCCCATGTTGTCATAACGAAAAATTTGTATTCAGACCCATTTGGATGCATTAAACTGAAAAACACATCTGATTGGCCAGAAAACTCACATGTCTGATTCTGTTTAGTTTTTGAACGAAATTCGGAAATGGAAATTCGGATTTGGACACATTCAGAGGCATTGGGATTCAGAAATTCAGATGTGTCCGAATGTCTGAATTTTGGAAAATGAATCCGAATTTTGATTCAGAACGAAACGAATGTCACATGTCTAGCTATAAGGATGATTTTCTGCAGGAAACAGTGAAGCATTGTGGAAGTTAATTTCTGCACATGGAGTTGGAAGTTTGGCTAGAATTAATGGTCTCCTCATTGCTGTAGAAATACTTTCCTTTTTCATGTAATACTATCAGAGAGGCATCTGATCAGTCACAAATCTATTCTGCTGCAGAACAATGACCCTAAGCATACAGCCATACAGCCAAAGTCATATCTTCAGCATAAAGAAGAACAATGAGTCCTGGAAGAGATGCTATGACCACCACAGAGCCCTGATCTCAATATCATTGAGTCTGTCTGTGATTATATGAATAGAACAAAGCAACTGAGACAGCCTAAATCCACAGAAGAACTGTGGGTAGTTTTCCTACTTGTTTGGAATAACTTACTTGCAGAGTTCTTTAAAAAAAAACTGTGTACAAGTTTACTTAAGAATTGATGCTGTTTTAAGGGCAAAGGGTGGTCACACCAAATTTTATTTAGATTTTTTTTCTGTTCATGCACTTTGTAAGATGTTAATTAATAAATACAACTATTCCTTGCCTAATTTTTTTAACTCATCCTTCTACTACAAACTTACCCAGGGTTCCAAAATCATCCTTTACAACCTTTAGATGAGATAGCAAGATCTATGTTTAAGTTGTATGTGTGTTGTGTTAAATTTGGACCACAACCTGCAATTAGCTTTTTGGTACCAAGTAAAAATGTTTGTCATGCATGCATTGCTTTAACATGAACAAATGGGAATCATTAACTCATCCCCAGAAGGGTTACACTTTTAGAAGTAGAAATGAGTAGACCTTTCTCAGCTACTATGTTTTCCATATGGTCACATTCACATGGACTTTGCCATGTGTTGGACTTGATGGACTAATGTCTTTATTCAACCTCAAATACTATGTAATATGTAATGTAGGCAAAACTTTTCTAAGGTGTAAAGAGGATCTGAACTCTGTAAGTCATACCCAGAAAAGGGCAAATTACCTGTGACCAGTATTGCCTGGTCTCCTTGCAGCTGAATGTTTTCCCATTACTGACTTGCCATTCCTTGTCCTGCAGTATGCCTCTCTGTGGAGGGGCAGGGCGTTTAGTAGAGGGGCAGGGCTTTTGTGTTCTCATGTCAGAGATCCCAGTTGATGTTCTGATGACTGGTGGGGTAACATTCAAGAACCAGCAGAAGTGGTGGTATTTAATATGGAAGCATGGTGATCCTTACCCTACAGGTCCTTGGGTACAGCTTCCTCTCCAGTACAGTGAGTAGTACATAGTCA